ACACACACACACACACACACACACACACACACACACACACACACACACACACACACACACACATATATATATATATATATATATATATATGTAGTTCCACTGCACTGTACCTGGAGGCTGGAGATTGCATCGACAGCCTATTCTAGGGAAAACAACGCAGGTATCAAATTATCGACGTGGAATGAAAAATCACAGCGGGGTGAGGAGCAAATGTCCGGCAGTGTGTTTTGCTCGCAGATATCTGGGGACCATTTTCCCACCAGATTAGAGATATGCATTACGAGCTTATGTCATTGTTGCAGTCATGACTACCATGTGAGCATATGTATATAACTTTCCGATGAAAATTAATCCGCAAAGTAGCACAGAATAAAACGGATCAGTGAACGGGGTATAAATAGCGCCAGTTATTTTTATTTACTATATTTTTACTATAGGCATGGCTCGTATTTTTTTCAAGTTGTATACGGTATATCGCTTTGTATAAAGGGCCTTATAGTACTATAAGCCGATTAGCCCTGTATAGGAATTCAATATAGCAGGCTTCACTATGAATATATTGACCTAAATGAGCAACTTCTCATCTTGAATACCACAATGGTAAATTTAGATAAAGTGATACATCTGATTTATAATTAATCAGACTCGAGTATAAAATCACTTCAAAGAATGCAAAGACTTCAAGGAATGCAAAGAGTATTCAATTGAACTTTGACGGCGTCTGAGTGGTAAAGCAAACAATAGATTCTAAAATATCTTTGACCTCATACACCTCACTGTGTCCGATTCAAAAAATAAGCTAACACGCTGCAGCATTGTATTCAGTTGGCAATGCATAAATGAATATGCGATCAACATGTATGTTACAGCCTGCGAGCATTCAGATGTCTTTTATTAAGCTTTATTTTGTCCGATTCAAAAAATAAGCTAACACGCTGCAGCATTGTATTCAGTTGGCAATGCATAAATGAATATGCGATCAACATGTATGTTACAGCCTGCGAGCATTCAGATGTCTTTTATTAAGCTTTATTTTGCTTCGATTGTAGTCATCCCCCTCTAAAAACTTTAAAAAGCTACTATCCTGCCGACAATGTCAACATATTATATATTTTTTAGAAAACGTACGCCATGCCTGATGCCGGCCATGGCCCTCTCTCTCTAGAGCGAGAGAGAAGAGGGTCATAGCATGCATATGTACTGTGTCATTGCCCTCTAAATAATACGCAAGTGTATAATAATGACGGAATTTCACGTGCACCGGCGAATTGTACCGTGCCCAAAGTATAAAGTGCCGGGTACGTCTTGCGTAACGTACGGCCTATTTTTCGTTAATACATATTTACATGACATCCCTCCCTCAGCATTTGGCGTACATAAACCATAACGTAGCTTGATGCTTTCATTAGTTACCATAGACAGGCACACACCTGACAGGTGATTCTATGAATTGCTAGATATTGGGGCAGCTCCAACGAGAGCTCACAAAGTACGGCTACTTCCTAATTGTTATGGTTATTTGTTACCTACAGTACGGGTATAATATATTCATAGACAGTTACCTTGTACACATGACAACAGCATACAGTTACACAACATATACGCAATATCAGTATGCAATATACACCGGAACAAAAACGCCCAAATTCGCATCCTCATGTTCTCAAAGTGAATTCAGACGGCCATGAACGGCAGAGGCAGATGTTGACTACACAGATTAACGCAACTCGCAATAGCATCTCAGACTTGGCAGCGGAAGTCCAAAATTTGGAACGAGTATGTGCAGAGACAATTGAAACCATTCAATGGGTACACACATACATGTACACAAACACACAAACACACACGTGCACATACATACATACACATACACACACACACACACATATATATATATAGTATATATATATATATATATATATAAAAATAAACACACATACACATACACACACACACACTATATATATATATACGTGTCTAGTATATCGTACTTAATATATATATA